TCTATTTCTTATCGCAAACCTAGCCCTAATCCTGACCCTAACCCTCAATTTCACACTAGCCCTAACCTTAATCCTAACCCTAATGACAATCCTTATCCTGTCGTAAACCTAAACCTAATCCCGATTATGACCGTAACCCTAACCCCAATACTCGAATTAACCGTAATCCTGGCGAAGTTTAAGAATAGCGTCCCAAAACCTTCAACGCTCAAATGACCTTGAACGCATGCTAGTCGTTGGCTAACGGTTCCTGTCATTATCATAGCTTGTCAATAACGTCTCATAAACCGTTAATGCCCAGCTCGGGCCCAGGCTGTTCCTCGAAGATTTCAGAAACGCTTAGTTATAACGGACGAAAAAACCAAAACGCCGATCTGTCACTTGATATTTCTTTATTGTTACACCAACATATAAAAAGAATAAGTAAACTAAGGTCTGAAAACAAATATTACAATAATAAATCATTGTATTACTTCTGACGATGTTTCACTCTTCTTTCTGAACAGCGACCGATGAGACGATGACTGTCGTATTGATGCCACCGCGAAAATTGGGGAAGTTGATTTTGAGCAAACAACCAAGAATTGATCGTTCAATCTTCAACTCCATTGACACTCCCCGGCAAAAAAGGGATCCAACCCTTTTTTCCTTCACGACCAATGCACGTTGACTTGGATGCCATTGCGAGAACCTGGGTCACACGGACAGAGCTGAAATGGAAAACAAACAGAAAAGTCAACACACCACAAGCATACTCACAGCACAATCTCACACATCAATGACGACCTGCGCCTCCAGACAGAGACCTCCTCTTGACATCTTGCAACACAATCGCCACTTGCTAGAATGACTCTTGCAGAATACAACGTGACCATGGCAGCACCTCACGATACTCTACGCACATCCTCTTATCTACTCATTACCAATTACCACTGAAATCGCTTGTCACTCATTCTGCCTCAGTTCTAGTAGCGGTGACGCATGCGAGCCTCAGTCGTTTACACTCTTTCTCCCCGGCGTGTCGGACCGCAGCTAACAATTATCTCCGTGTGCATTTCATTCTCAGCAATAGCCTAGCCTCCCCGGCGTATACGACCCATCTGCTGTCTTTAACATCAATCAATTCATTCACGGATTTAGAAGAGTGGACACAACTTCAGAAGTAATCACGACGAATATTTTCACAAATTTATGCAATGAAAACAAGATACGGAAACAACGAGTAAACACAATGAATTCAAATAACACCAATTGATATGACACACCACACGTATATACAAACAGTACACACAAACTCGCATTTCATGTCTTGATGGAATACCCTTGAAGAACTGTAGGACTTACACCAGTACGCCTACAAACCTTCACAGGTTGACGATTGTAAGTTGTGGAATGTCCAGACACAAACAAGATTAACCAACAATTACATCAATTGGAACTCACACAACTGTTTAACACAAACATATGTACAATCAACACATCAAATGTTGTTTATTCTGGCACGACAAACTACCCTTGGAGAACTGTAGGACTTACAGCAGTACGCCTACATCCCTTCTCAGGTTGATGATCCAAGTGGAAGTCGTCCGGACACAAACAGAATTACCAACAGCTAGATGATAAATGATACCAATTCAGTATATACAACATCAACATATGTACAAAATCACATACCAAGCACAATGGACTGCTCATTGATGCGCTACCCTTTGAAGAACTGTAGGACTTACACCAGTACGCCTACAACCCTTCTCAGGTTGACGCCCTAGGTTGGAAAATCGTCGCAGAGTTCATTTGCTAACTTCCTTCTATCAGCTATATCCTCAAATCTGAACGGCAACACGCCCATGTCATTGTATCGTAGAATATAGATGACCAACAAACACACGGCATATCTCATCAACCAAGTGTAAAAACAGAGTAATTTACACCAAAGATAATAGCATTCAAATAGTAACTTGAAACTAGAAATGCCTTCATTCGTGCAAGTCAATTTAACAATTACTCTCTCGTTTACACTTGGCTTATCCACCCTAAACTGACCATTGATATTCGTCCTTTCAAACGAACTGATACTATCATAGTCATTGGACAAGATACTTGAGTTGATGGGCATCTGTTTCATTGTGGATGACAGCACCAACGACGACTGATTGATATCAGTTGATGAAGTTAGCGGTGTATCAAAGGCTGTTGTTGATCGACTTTCAGAAATTTGTCTACCTGCAAGACCACCACCACTGCTGTCTTTTACTATCAGCTCAGGTTTAGCACTAGCATCTGATGATAGGTGGGCTACATGCTGATCAATCACACTGACGGTCTGACAAGTATGCATGCCTTCTGCAACTGCTTCTGCATTTATTTCTACTTCACGTTCAAGTTGTACAGAAACTTTGTTCAACTTAGCAGTAGTAGGCATATCCCTCATCTCATCATGATCAACCAAAGACAACTGTGAAGTATCATGATCATTATCAGGAATATTCAATTTACCGTCAACTTCATCATTTTCAAACTCTTTAATAACAGAAGTAGACAATTTTGGTTCCTCCTCGCAAATCCTAAAAGGTCTTAAAACTTCACTCTGACTAGTAATACCTTGTAAACTTTTGGAGTCAGAACTGCACCCTGAAGCAGTAACTCTATTCTGTGACACTCTATTCAACAACGGCTTACCAGTTGCAACTACAGACTTCTTCACAACACCGTTATCGTCACACAATTCGGAGTCAGACCTGGAGTTTACATTTAGCTTATCACTGAACTTGCTCACTGATTCACAGTTCACTTCTGTATGCACTTCTTGCAAACGTGTGAAACACAACCGTGTATGTCTTGCATCTTGCAACTTATCTGTTGAGGATGTACTACGAAACCTGTTACACTCACTAGGTCTATATGCATTACTAGACATCATGGAGCCTTCTCGATATCCACCTCTCTGAGGCTTATTCGTCATCAATGAGTGCGTTTTACCCTCAAACTGCTCTATTCTAGGGGTGAGATCTAACAGACTGGAAAACTTGCTCATAGATTGATTGACACTAGTATTTACCAGTTTCAGGATATCATCAAACTTTGGCTCGATACCCTCATCCTCCATACGGGAGCTTATCTTCACCCACTTCCTTTGCAGTCGAGTAGGTAGACGTCTTGCTATTACTTCTAGTATAAAACTCGAGTTGAGGTCACTCATGCGATTCATCGAAATCATTCCATTCTTGTAAATTAGCAAATTATCTAAAAACTCAGTGAGTGCCTGGGAGTCATCCTGTAATTGACCAGCATTACCCTTAACAGCCTCGAATAATTTCCCTGCAATCATCGAAGGTCTTCCAAACCTTTGACGTAATACGCTCATAGCCTCGTAGTAGCCCCCTTTTGGCTTCATAAACGTACAGCACTGTATAGCTCTTGCAGCATCTCCAGTGCAATACCTCATTAAATACGTTAACTTCAATTCATCATTTAATAAGAAACCACTCAACATGATCTCAAACTCCTTTACAAATTGTAAATAATCAACCGGGTTTCCATCAAAACACCGTGGTTCAAATTTAGGGAGTTTGATGTTCCTATTATCCCTGAACGGCGAAACAGTAACATCAACCATGTCATGCTTAACATCAGACACATCGTTACAATTAACAGACAAGTCACCATGACTTACTTTCATGTTTGCATCCAAGACACTCTGTCCCTTCTTTGACCCAGGCATTGTTGAACTTGACCCAATTCCAAAAAGTTCCAGATATCGCTTGTTCAAAGAGGACTTGACTGGCACCAGGAAAAATGAACGGCGACTATCCAAACTTTCACCAACTGTTTGAATCCGCCAGATCTGTTTCAATCGTCAGGAACTGTCAATCACGTCTCATAAACCGTTAATGCCCAGCTCGCGCTACGCTCGGGCGGGGAAGTTGATTTTAAGCAAAAAACCAAGAATTGATCGTTCAATTTTCAACTCCATTGAAATAGCTGAAATATCAACCCTATTCATCAAATAAGGAGCAAGTTTCACCCAGATAACACTTTTATTACTGTTGGACAATGTGTTAACATCTCGTTAGAGTTAGGATAAGGGTTAAGGCGAGTATTGTGGTTAGGGTTACGGTTAGGGTTTAGGGTTAGGGTCTAGGGTTTAGGGTTAAGGTTAAGGTAGCGAATAGGAGTAGATTTTTCGTTGATTTCAAGTTCGTTCATTATCCTTATTTCTCTTGTATGTAGTCGCCAATGCTCTTACTGGAACCATAGTTACTAAACCGAAGGCTTAGAAGAGGACTACACAGCAAGAGAAGAGAGATGAACCATTCCCAAAACAGCACACCTTCAGTCACTTTGGTGAATACATCTACAGAAACTAGTCCAACTTAGCAACTGATACTCTTCATCGCAACTGGAACGTATTTTTAAGTAATATCAGAGAAATATAGTCCGTTTAATGTGTTTTCATGCATTTTCTTGTAAATATACGTCATTTTTTGTGCAAAAATTCCTCATTTTTATGATTGGGTGGCTGAAGGTCATTCATGCGTTCGCGTCTCTTGGGACGCTAATGTTGAACTTTGCCGTAATCCTAACCCTAACGAGATGTTAGCACATTGTCCAAACAGTAATTAAAAACGGTATCTGGGTGAAACTTGCTCCTTATTTGATGAATTCATCACCCTATTAATATGGCTGATATTTCAGCTATGATAATGACAGGTACCGTCAGCCAACGACTAGCATGCATTCAAGGTCATTTGAGCGTTTGAAATCTTGGGACGCTATTCTTGTACTTCTCCTTACTCCCTTAAGCTAAAAAATATAATGACTATTCGCTTTTATTATTGCTATTTCAAAGCTCGCCTCAGTAACGTACAACGCAAATTAGCCGCAACGTTTATGCAAAAGAAAATCTACCAATCACAGTGTGCGTAAGTGACCTTCAAGTGCTCAGCCTCTCCATAAGCCATTTGTGCCGCTATCCTGTGTCGTAGGCGGGGGCTGTCGTGATGCAAGCAACTATGTTGTGTGATCCTGGTTGTGTAGATTACGGAAAGAAGCACATTTGGTTCGTTTTTGTGTTCCTCTCTAATACGTTACAGGTCTAGCCTTCTTGAGGAAGCTACTCACAAAGCTGCAGTGGCACTATCACGTACCAAAACGCTCATCATTGTGGGAGATGAGGAATGCGGAAAGAGCACTCTTATTGCCCGACTTCAAGGGACTCGTGATCAGCAAAAGGGATTTGGACTGAACTTCACTTTGCTAGATATCAAGGATGAAGAGAGGGATGGTATGAATTGGATTCCTTTAGATATTATACTAAATTTAGATCAGACTGAATTAAAAGTGTGGATATTGGATAGGCATGCTGTTCACAACCACCTTTTTAAATTTGCAGTTGATGAAGAATCTCTCGGGGATTGTTTCGCTATGATATGTGTGAGCATGGCGGAGCCGTGGAAGATAATGAAAAGTCTTGAAGAGTGGGTCACTGTTCTCAGAAAGCATATCGACCAACTGAAGATTCCAGAGCAGAAGCTTCAACAATACAAGAATAACGGTTAGTCTTTCCCACACTTAGTATGATATATTCTCAAGGCTGGTGTTAGACTTAGTTGGACGTACTTGATGCATTAATCACTAATTTAATCTAAGAAGTATATTGTGGAATGCGGTGGCTTGTTTACACAGAGGACTTAGGTGTTTCTTTCGTTTCCAGATGTGCACGTGTGATTCTATAGCTTAAGATGTGTTGCTGACGAGTCACACCTTTGTGACTCATATATACTGTTAGATGTAGGAAGCTTCAATAGTGTAATTCTTGTTTCGTAATGAGTAAGACAATAACAAGGATCTGTATTTTTGTGTTTTTGACGGAGGTGAGTATCTTGGATGCTACTATTATTATCTTTGTGTACCACTCAACTTTCAGAAAACCAGTCTAACCACACTTTCCACATAAAACCTAACTTGTTCTGCATGAAGTTCCGGAAGGTTATCTGTAATCATGATTACGGCAGCGAAGTCAAGTTAATATTCTAGTATTCGGTGTTAAGTACCTTAGTGTTGAATGGCGAATGATACACACACTACCAAATTGACAGCCAATTCGTTTCATATAATAGCTGCAGCATATTCGTGATGGTCAGTTTGAGCTTGTAATAATGACTGCGCAAGTAGCACTAAATTGCAACCTAGGTGTATTATGAGACGTGGAGAGTCGAAGGTATTCCTAAGTTTCTTTTTAGGAGTTTGACGACGTTATTCTAACACTAACAGCTACCTTCATTTACATGCCTTCAGGACTTACGGGTTGTTTGAAAAACCTGATTACTCTCATCTAGTCACTTTCTAAACGTTGATTCCTGCTAACTATTCAGTCATTGCGTGTATATGCCAAAAAGAAAAGTGAAAGGTAATTATAGGTTTACTCTATACACTGATTCCTCCCTAAGCTTGTTGAAAGATATATGTTTAGTCGTATGCGGGTAGCATGAAATCCAAGTTTGTAAAATGGTGATAGGTGGGTTTCATTGGTAACAAGGATATCACTTTCGTCAAATGGTAACTCAAAATTTGTTCTGTCATAATCACACATGTTAGATTCAACACAATTTTTCAGCTGTGTTTATTAATTTTCTCGATCTGGTGGTTACACCTCTCGTGAAACTGAGTTTACTTGGAGAGCTTATAACCGCGTTATGTATATTATTGTTTATGAGTCGTAATTACTAGAAGTTAGCTAATAAGCGTAGTTTTAGGTTTATTACATTTTTTTGGTCTCATTTGTACATCAGTCAGTCTTGTCTCTGAAAATGATTATCATGATTTTCATAATGGTGAGCAACTATAAAAGGTGAGTTTTGTCTGATTTTACGGTTATTGTATATCACTGGTTCATTGATATTTCACCTGTGGTTACTTACACCAAGTCGCTCTTGAATTGCTGTGGTAAGCGATCTCCAAGAGGGGTAGAATTTCGAAAGTTTGTGAAGCGACAACTGGAAGAGTAAAAATCAGTTCAGCTGGCTTATGGCTGTGCTACATTAGATAACTATACGTCACTAGCCCAAATGAGACACGGATTTCGATTCTCCACCTTTGATTGGAGCTAAAATCTCTAAATAAAAATGAGGCAAAGCAGCCGGACCAAAGGGTTTAGATGCAAAATGTTTTAAAAATGGTCACGAATTATTGATAAACTGAGGTAATAAATAGTGTATAAAAATTAAAGATAAATTGCTAGTGATCGAAACGAAACTTGGCATCAGTCCATGAAGCCTGCCACTTGGTTTGAGTCATGTAAGGGGGGTGTACATAATCTGGTTAAAATCTTCGAAACGCTAAGATCCAATGGATTGAGACTGTTGATGGTATTGATCAAAATTAGTTGTTTCCAATCTTTGGTTCTTACAATCCCAAGGACCCCAATCAAGAAGTCCACACCTCCCTAAGTAACTGGTTAAAACTAACTTATCCATTTCATTGACTGATGCCCCCTTTTTGTTTTGACCACCACTGACGCTTTCCCAATCTGATCATATGTCAATTAACAGTCCGTTGAGGAAGGCGATGGTTAGACATGCGTAACATGTAACTATCTCAGTCGGTGTATCTTCACAACCTTGTCGATTGATTTCCCTTTCCTACCTGGCACTCGATGGAAGCCTAACCTCAACATCGCTCACTTTACTATTATTATGACACGCGAGGTAGAACGCAAACACCTATGATCAAAGACTGCTAGCCTTTTCGTAACTTCTACCATGTCTAGGTCACAGCCATAAAGGAGGACAGTGACCTGGTGAGCAGTAGACACGTCCTTTGTTTGACAGCCGGATATAACGTCCATTAAGCAAGTTGGCAGTTGCCGAACCAGCCTTCTGTATCCGTCTGTCTGTCTGTTTTTGACATAGAACTTTGCACAAATGTGCGGAAGTTCAAGTCGCCACACTCCGTGTAGCACGCGAAGCAAGAGAAGTATAAGAAAAGCATAATAGAAACTGTGAGCAGAGGGGTGAGACAAAGGAGGAGTAATAACGAAGAAAAAAACAGTTTCATTGGAGATCATAAGTCACAAGGAGTGGATGCATCAGCGCCGGCCACTGAGAACGATTTTGAGCCATGTCACCAATTGTTTCCAACCATAGATTTTTACCGTCCCGAGGACCCCAGCCTGGAAGTCTACACCTTCCTACGTGGCTTAGACCAACTGTTGTGGATTTCATTGACTGGTGCCAAGTTTTTGTTTGACTGCCGCTAGCATTTTTCCAGCCTGACCCTATATCCGCTAACATTGCTCGTCGAGGGAGGCAATGGCTTGGCATACGTAACACATGTCCTAACCATCTCAGTCTTTGTAGCTTCACGACTTCGCCGATTGATTTCCCCTGTTTACCTAGAACTCTACGCCTAACCTCCATGTTGCTCACCTTATTATGCCACTTTACACGGGAAATAGAACGAAGGCACCTATGATCAAAGACAGTTAGTCTTTTCATGTCTTCCACTCTCAGTGGCCATGTCTCACAACCATAGAGGAGGACGGAGCGGACTGATGAGAAGTACACCCGCCCTTTGGTCGATAGTCGAACATCTCGTCTACGCTAGAGTCGGCGTAAACTGGCAAATGCGGAACGAGCCCCCTGTATCCGTGCTGAGATTTCGTAACCGATTAACTCGCTGGGGTGATTGCGCTTTCTAAATGAGTGAATTTTCCAACACGCTCTACCCCTTCATTGTCTATCTTAAAGCTAGGAGTCGAAGGGTGAAGATATGACTAATACTTCCTCTACTTGGTCTAAAGCCTGCCTAATTTTCTCGTGCTTCTTTCTCCCGAGCACCACTTAGTATACGCAATATTATTGAGCCTAGAACTTTGGATACCAAGTTAGTCAAGCTAATCTCCCTGTGATTATCACATAAAGGCTTGTCACCCTTCTTGTATATTGTGGTAATCAATGACTTACACCATCCCGACGGGACTATCTCTGATTCCCAGGTGCTGCCTAATACCTAAGTTAGCTCAGACAGTAGACTGTCTCCACCGTCCTGAAACACGTCTGGAGTCATTCGATCAAGTCCCGCTGCTTTGCCTCGTTTTAAACTACTGATAGCCCACGCCGACGCACACCTGATATCTATGGTCGGCCTGCGAATTTTGGGCTACCGATATCCATGCTGAAAATTCCACACTTGTACCAAAAATACAGTGTGGAATCAAGCTGTAATCAAAAATAAAAAAATAAAATAAATAACCTCAATTAGGGACGGAAGGCCTATATGTATATCCCGCTCAGTGAGGGGTTGAACGCTGGGTAGGCTAAGCGTGGCTGTAAGCCAGTTAAATTGCCCCTCAAAGGGTTCTTTCTAACATTCCAGTCGTCTATCCTGAGAGTAAATTTGAGTGCCTCTTTTCTTAGAGATTGTTTCACTTATCACTTGCCTTTCACCACCTGTTTGTCTGTCTAAATAGTTGTCTGGCGTTACCTATCACCGATGCCTTTTCCATCTCTTTCGCTTATGTCACTCACCAATGGTCATGGTCGTTTCGGAGGCTTCTTGTTGGTTCGCGTTTGAGCAACTTTCACTCCTCATTATAATCAAAGCTCGCCGGAATCAGTCTTCTTGCGTCAGTCAGTTCGGATGAGGTGGTAGAAATCCAATGGCTCTTATCAACTTTAGGTTTCAGGTTATTAGCAGCTTTTACAGCCGTGTCTATAGCTATATCGTAGAGATTCAAGCTAACTGTATGTTGTGCCAGGCTTCTTCACGAGGAGTCCTGCTGTCGACCTGAAATACTCGTTTCACTATTTCTTCCATAAATAGGGACTCAGAGTCTCGATATAGTTAAGGACGCAGCTGCTTCATTGGCAACAATTTTTTATGTCCGTTTGATGGTAAGCGTAAACGTGCGCGAACCAGGGCGTGATCAGACTCTACGCACGTTGCAGAAGGAGCGGCAGTCTTCTACTGACCCTCGCCAACGATACCCTATGGCTATGTGGTCTGTGTCCAGTGTTGATTTGGTGATGGAGATCGCCAATGTCTCTCTTCGTGCGTAAAGTTAGTGGTGACTAGAAACAGATGATTATCTGGACAGAACTGTAGAATATGGTCACTGTTGTCGATTCGTTGACAGGTGCCATCTCTAAGTCTGGCAGAACTTCCCTACTTGGGCATTGAAATCTCCCGCTAAAACAACTATACGTGGGCTTTTTGCAGTAAACTTGACAATTTTTGGTATAAATCATTCATCAGTTCATCGGAACTGCAGGCAGTTGGAGCGTAAGAAAAGACTATGAAAAGAAAACGACTGGTAACGCCGTCCTTCTTTCTTCTGGCAGAACCATTCAGACAGACCGTACACATACGACTACCTACTGGGATGCAATCAATAAGTGATTTTTCTGCCTTAACACTCAGTGCTATCTCTATACTTACCAATCCTTGCGAACTAGCTGAGGAGTCTCTTGACATCTCTAAGGTGAGTTTTGCAGATTCACCTTGGCCGAGTGGGTTTAAGTGAATTACCGCACTCGGGTCTTGTGTTTGTGTCCGAAACACAACATATATCAATGGCTTTGGATGCCACAGTTCTGGCTAGTGATGCCTGTAGTCCTATTCGGCAGAGGATTCTGGTGCCATTGTAAAGTTGGCGGCGTTTTTTAAGAGATTGGTGGTAGTGTTTTCCTTGCTCTTTTCGCTATAAGTGGTCACAGAGTGAAAATGGAGGCAGAGGACTACCCTGTAGACTAGTCTTAACGGTAGGAGGAAAGCAAAATCACGGTGACGTAGGTAAAGGTGGGTGCTGATCAGGAGGGCTTCGTGTAATTCTAGAACTCTCTGGGCGATTGCTACTTTTTGGCTGCCTACACTGTGGGAGTTGATTTTTGGGAGGGGGTACCTGAAACAGAGTCAAGGGAACAGTTGCTGGAAGCCGGTTACACACTTCCTGTTTGAACTGGTTTTTAGGTTTGTTTCCGTCTTAGTAACTTACTATCGGCTAATTTAGCTGGTTGGGTCACTGAAATATGCAAGCCCAACCACGTCAAGGTAGCAGCTGTCGGTTGGGATGAATGGTGTCACGGTTCTTAGTGCCGTTATTCTGTTCATCACCCATTTTTTAGCATTGTTAATTTTTTGTTCACCTATATTGTGCTTTTATTTAAATCGTGGAACTTAAATTTGCCTGAGTTTCTACACTGAGTCATCGGTCAACGGGTTGACTAGTGTCAGACATTTCTTTCGTTTAATATTGAAACAGTAGTGAATGCATATTGCTATTCATATTTTTATTTGAATGTCTCTTTATTCTCTTTTCTTGCTGTGTGGCTACTCGAACTGCTGCACATCTGTGCAAGCTTCTGTGTTTTGAAACCAGTCATTTCTATTCACTGCATGAGAATTCAAATAGTGATTTGTTGATTGTGCTTGTAGTTTTGCACCAGTTCCGTGGTTACCTGGAGCCAGATGTACTAGCCAATAAAACTCATGTTTCATCCATCTCCATGCCTGCAATTGACAACTCTGATACGAAGCCAGCTGAGCCACCGAAAAAACTAACTCGAGTACATCCTGCAAAAGTTGTTTTGTTCTCAAATACTTTGCGCGAATCAGCGGAGCAATTATTGCCAGATAAAAATTCAGAATCTGCAGTGGAGTGTGCTGAAACCTCTTCAGAGTCAAATTCTAATGAGAATACTTTGTATAACAACTTGGGTGTTCCAATAATTGTAGTTGTAACAAAGGTGGGTGTATGTATTTTAAAATATTTCATTTTGTCGATAACAAGCGTAAATCAGTGTTGACAAGTTGGCTTCTGTTGCGGATATTTCTGTTTTTCCTCTACGAATATGCTAATATTATTTGGTGAACGGCAGTCGGACTCAAAATATATCGAAGCTTTCGTGATAGACAACGGTGTACCTTTGTAGTTCGGATAATTTATTTTAGTGTAATGTTTAGTTATTGTATGGTGGCAGTAAGACACCAGTATTCAAGGCAGTGGTCGCACGCGTAAAAGAAAAAAATCAATACTAAGGTGGTGTATAAACATACACATGATAAGTCTCAAATACGAAGGGATATATCTGTCGGAGTTCACCACAAGTCCCTACAAAATATCATCTAGATTGATATGATACAAATTATTTTGCTCGTGTTCATGTTGATGCATCTATACCACCAAAAGCAGTTATATTTTATGTTACTTTTGTTCAGTACTTTTCAACAATAGATAGTCTGTTTTCACAGAGTATCGTCGTACAGATTGAGAAAAATTGGTATAAAAATTTATGCAAAGTTGTTACTTTTTCCTTACTTCATTTTAATTTTTCTAGGCTGACACTATGAGCAATTTGGAAAAAAAACACCAATTTACGGAAGAATACTTTGACTTTATTCAGATGCATATTCGTCGCTTTTGTCTATCTTGTAAGTACTCATTTGCATGGTTCTTAGTTGTTGTTACTCTCACTGCTTTTATGTTTCATTTTAATTGACTGCCTTTTGCTAATGGTTTTTCCTCGCGGTTGGAATTAAATTCCAGATTTATGGTAGTTCGCAGTTTAAGTCCACCGAAAACTCTGTCGTAGAAATTTATTTCATCGTTTTTTGAATGATTTCCTACTTACCTTAGCTACTTCACGGTACTTTTATCACTTCCACGTATACTGCCTTAAACAGAAGATTCGTTGATAACTTAAGTTACTAAATATTCCCATTACTAAAGTTTAAACAAAAAGGCGAACAGTAATGTATTCAATTAGATCTTCCTCAGTCTCGAATTCGGTGGAGAGGTGGCCGGTGAAGTTCTATGCCAAAGACTTCTGCTACCCTTTTTTGGACATTTTCCAGCCCACTAGTTATCATTACTCAGGCGAAACATAAGTCGTCTAAATGTGTTGCTTCTATGTGCATTTAAAAATTTAGCTGCTCCTATGGAAGGTGCCACATAGGGTAACGCAGCAGACGCATTACTAAGCACCTTTTTCTATGGTTTGGAAAAGGTCGAACACAATCTATGAGGAGCTCGATTTTGTTTCATTTAATCAATTGTTAATCGCCAACAAATGGATAAAAGAAGCGCTTTCATGCTTATTTGTTGCATTCTGTCGAACCTTTCGAATTCATCATCTACACATTGCCGAAGTTGCAGGAAGTCGAGGGAATAACCACAGTCTTTGCATTCAAAAGAATTTTGTTCTACATTTTTTTACTTGGCCCAGGTAAGTCTAATACACTAATTAAAGCTTTTTGACCTTTCGATAAATTTATTTATTTATTTAGATTATGAATACCTATTCACTTCATTTTCAGTGTTTTACAACTTCTAATTTTGTAAGATTTTGGTCTTATATAATTACGGCAATGTCGACATTGTCTGTCTTCATTCTTGTTATTGCCCCCTTTAATCAACTATTTGTACTTTTGTCATCATCGATGTTATCATTATTATTTCTATTATTGTAACCGTTTTAATTCTCCACAGTTTCGCACATACACCTAGCCGTCTTGTTGGTAACATGTTACTTATAGTCGGAATGTGCATCGCTCTTTCTTAAACTGATGAGCCTGTGCTTTTAAAGACCTATGTTCCTCTCAAAACCTGAGGAAATGATATCAAGATAGGGCCCAAATTCTACTCTTTCACTTAGCAACGAATGCTGTCATAAATGGACTCTTTCAGAGTGCCTACTTCTGTGTCGTTTCGAGATGTTAGCGAGTAACCCTCAAAATGGTTGTCTCCAATGTGACATCTAACTCAGATATCCTGAAACCGCGTGCCGCATTCAACCTGGCCACCTACAATGTTCGGACGCTGATGCAAATCGGACAACAGGCAGGGTTGGTAAGAACATTGGAAAGCCTCGCTATCGATATCTGCTGTATTTCGGAGACCCGCATTCAAGATCCCAGTGAAGTGATTCGATTATCCTCTCCATGTGAAAGTTCTAGTAGTATGCACCACTTGTGCTTTTTCCGGGTACCCTGTGGCGTCGGCATATGGCGTAGCTGGTGTCGGTGTCTCACTAAGCGCTAGAGCCGAAGCTGCCTTACTCGACTGGATTCCCGTTAACTGGTTTATGTGCTGTGAGGCTGGAAAGTTCTATGAGATTAAGGAGTAGGCGGTGTCTATTTGTTGTCTCTGCCTGTGCACCGACAGATTGCAGCCCAGATGCAATGAAGGATAAGTTCTACTACCAACTTAGCGATCTCTTGAAACAGGCGGGTCGGAGGGATATCGTAGTGCTGGCTGGGAACTTGAATGCACAGGTTGGACGTCTAAGCTCAGAGGAGAATCGTCTAGGTGGTCAGTGGGGACTACATGGTCTCAGGTCAGATGATGGAGGCCATCTTCTGTAGCTTTGCGCGGATCATAACTTATTTCTAGCCAGGACCAACTTCCTCCACAGCCATCTCCGTAGCGGCACCTGGTGCCCTCCCTCTGCGAATCAAACTTGAACTCAGATTGATCATATTGCTTTCAGTTTCCGGCGGTGAGGATGCATACAAGACTGTTGCTCCTTCTGGAGCACATGCCTGGACTCCGATCATGTATTAGTGTGTACCAGGTTCGTCTTGTGATATGGTGGGGTTCATAAAAGGCGTCGTATAAGTGTTAATGTGAGCAAACTAGTAGCACATGCTACTTCTTTGAAATGCCAGAAGGAGTTACAATCACTGCCTGCCAGCAACCCCCCTAAGTAGTATAGATGAACATTGGCTTCATGTGCAAGGTGCCATGCAAAAGGCGAGTGTAGCTGCTTGCAGCTTGAAAGAATGCTCCGCTAAAAACCACTGGATTTCTGCGAGTTCCTTGCAACTCCTGGATAAACACCGGTGCATTCTGGCTGGCAGCGAATACAGCAATAAACGAAAGGTGCTTAGGCGCAAGATTAGGCAGTGTTTACGTAAGGACCGCGAAGCCTAGTAGTCAGAACGTGCGTATGAGGTGGAGGCAACTTCTGCATCTGGCAAAAGTGGAAGGCTGTTCCAGCTCATCCGAGCCACTGGCAGCAAGAAACAAGGTGTCAGTGAGACGGTCTGTGAGGCAGATGGCACTCAAATTACCAGCTTGAAAAGACGCCTGGAACGCTGGGCAGAGCACTTCGGGAAACAGTTTAGCTGGCCACCACCAGCTTCAGTGTCTACTGTCATTAGCCCGAGTGCTCCTTGGTCGGTTAGTACCGATCCACCAACCGAAGCGGAGGTTCGTAAGGAACTCCAAGTGTTAAAACGCCATAAGGCGCCCGGCCCAGACAATCTACCACCGGTTGTTTTTAAAGATGGTGGCGAGACTCTCACAATGGCTCTAACTGTGTTGTTCAGGAAGGTGTGCCATCAATGTGGAACGAAGCCATTATCATCCCCATCTGTAAAAAGGGTCGACGTAATTCGCGTGACAATCATAGAGGTATCAGTCTGTTACCAGTCGCGTCTAAAATATTGGCTGCTGTTTTGCTTCGCAGGCTGTGCAAAATACGTGAGGGATTGACTCGCGAAGAGCAGGCTGGATTTTGTTCAGGTCGTGGGTACAGTGATCATGTGTTTACCTTTCATCAGTTATTGGAACACTGTCACACATATTGCAGGCCAACAATCGGCGTGTTTCTTGATATTAGGACTGCCTTCGACTCGTCAGATAGAACTGTTCTCTGGAAATGTATTCCAGAGAGGAGTGTACCTGAGAAGTTTGTCAACATCCTGAAGGTCCTATACGGAAACACCTCAGGTAGAGTGAGGGCATACAACCAACTATCATCTCTGTACCCAACCAACTGTGGGGTTAGACAGGGTTGCCCGATCTCTCCATTTCTGTTTAACTTTGCCATCGATGACATTCTGGAGTCAGCTCTGAAGGATGTGCATGAAGGTGGTGTAAATCGGCTACCTGGAGATAGACTTTTCGACCTCGAGTATTCAAGCGATATCGTCTTACTGTGCAATAGCATGCGGGCTGCCCAGATCGCACTTAATCAATTGGCGATCATTGTCTGTAAGTATGGTATGAATTTTGCGCCGTCTAAGTGCAATCGATCATCGCTGTCTCCGCAGGATTGCTTGCGTTCGATGGCATCATCGCGTGAGTAATTTTGAGGTTCGGCGGCGTGTTTGAACACAGTGGCGATCACCATTCATTGAGTGTCGTCATCTGGAAACACCTCCGGTGGCTTGGATATGTGCTGCGAATGTCATCCCAGAGGCTTCCGTACAGGTCACTGTTCGCTGGCCAACCCTGGGACGGGATGGAGTAGGCGGAGGGGGGTGGTCAGTCCATGACGTGGCACCGTGGGATGAAGGATTTTTGTGCTATCAGTTTCTAAGTTTGTCAATCATCATTTCATTCTATGTAAGTAGTGTTAAAATTGTTCTGCTGTGACCAATCAATTCCTAAAATGTTCCATACCATTTGGTTTTGTTTCCAACAGGTGGAGCAGCTTTGTTTTACGTGTCAGTGAAAGATGATAAAAATTGTGATTTACTAAATCGTTATCTTCAAAGTCGTATATATGGCTTTCCTTTCACTCAAACAGCATATGTCGTTGAAAGGGATTGCATTTTTGTGTAAGTCCCATATTAACAAATATCTTTTACGTAATTTACAGTCCAGCTGGATGGGATAATGAGAAAAAGATTGGAATTTTGCAAGAAAATCTTACTGAAATCAAACCTCTTAGTCTTTATTCTGACGTAATACCACAGCCAAAAAAAGATACAGCTCTTCGTGAAATGGAAATGCCTCTCCCAGATGATCAGGTAAATTGTATGATTTATTCGTACTTATTGATATGAGGATAAAACTTGGGCATTGTGACTATAATTCCATTATGGGTGAAATTTTATTTTTATATTTACTGCATAACACTATGTGACTATATCAAAATAAGATTTTATCCATAATGGAATTATTTATACTTAATTTTGATTAAAGACGTTTTCAGATATGATTGTGTTTTAGCGTGAGCTTTCACGCCTCAATGACTTCTGTCCTAAATGCTTTTTAGAATGTGCAGTGAATTAAACTAATATTATTACTGACTTCATATCCACATGTCATATTACAACTTAAATGTCGATGTGAAAACTGTATAAAACGGTTATTTGCCTACTTTTTTCCCACTTCAGCGCTTGTGTAGGTATTTTCCCGCAATAGGGTGTGGTCTTCACTGTAAAATTTCTCACATTCAACTATCAAATCGTCCTCTTCTTCTGTATGATCAAGTCATTCTTATCACTTCTATTTGCTTGAGTATACTTTCCATTCATTAGTTGGTGCGTGAAAGTTTACATTTGACAATTGGGCTGCTAGGATGCATTTGTCATCACAGTTTTTCAGATATTCGCTATTGGCAAATTCATGAAAGTCGTTGATTCACAGGATTTGGAATTCATAGGCAATAGTCAACAAGCTTGGCCTAAAGATTCTCAGTTCGATTCCCGGAGGGCATGGGTGTGTCTATTGATAAAGACTCCCACATTAAGATAACATATCTGTCTAGTATCCCCTGATTTTCAGTGGTTCTCCAACTGACCTCAATCCATGATCGAACTTGAAAAAAAATCATGTTGCACCTACATATCCGTGCCAATCTACTCCAGGTAACATAATTGTTTGAATGAAGTTATGAGTCCTCTGAAATGACTGTAAGCAGTAAACTGTTCTCCAAACACTCAGTAAATAAATAATAATTATAACCTGCTAGTGTGTTCTATTATCAATTGAAGCAATATATTACCGTTCTAGTGGCTTGGCTGATGGCAACTTATGCAAGTGAGATATAATAACCGCTTTAATATTAAGTTAAAGTTTTCAATTCATGCCATTGGGCTGGAATGGAGAAAGTTGACAATTTTTGCTTTGTAAGTAATGAAAATGTTAACTTGACGAAATAAAGATGTCACATTTTTCATTTGTACACATCTCGTATGGTGCATTGACTATCAGTAATATTTGATGTTTCTATCACTGATACTGTTAAATTTATAAAAATTAGATAAATGAAGCACAAACCATCATTCTGGATTTTTATAATGTATGAATTTTCTCACCTAGGATTTACACGCTGTGAAGATAAATAGTATTTATGAAGTCATGATTATCTGATGAACGCTTGCTGTTTTTTTTGGTTTTTTTGGCTTCTTTTTTCATCTGATCTTTGTAGTCATTTCTAACACGCCTCATACTAATTGTACAAAGGGATATCCCTCAACTAAATGCACATTTATCTGGTAGTTCAGATTCTGTTACGGATCAAATATCAGCAACACCTGCTCTAATGAATTCATCTTCAGTTGTTGGAAATCGATCAGTTTCTGGATCACCTCGTACATCGGCAAGTAGAACAAAGGTATTTCAATTAGGCTTTCAATTTCCTCATTAAATATTCTATTGATCTTTCAACTGCACGTCACAGTTATCAATGCGTTCACTATTCATCTCAACACTTAATTAGGTTTTATGTAAGAATCTGAAATTTCTTCTGATTAATGTGTGGTCTTTGATATTTGTTGTACATAATCTGTCTGTAGAAGTATCTATGCATAATACGAATGGCTCATTGGCAGCATCGTGATGGGTATCGTGTTGAAATCTTATAGACAGCAGACATTTCTATAAATTTGTTGATAAGACGTCGAAAAAAGAATTTACATTAATTTAGTTATCAGTATCATAGTTTATCATTGCACCACCTATTTTTTTTCTTGCTGTTTTAATTATCAAGTCATGCACGTGAAAATCCGAACTACCAGGTAGAATCGCGTTTAATATAGAATAGTAAATTTTGTCGTGTTGTCGGAGATAGATAGATTTCCGTTGTGTTTAGGATTGTCCGAAGCCGATTGTTGCTAAGATTGGGTGAAACAACTCCCTCTCGTTAGTCCATTTGGATTTACTTTCCTCTTCTTTATTTTGACATTGAAATCTTTTTTCGTTTTAGGATCAAACCACAAGTAAGGATAATAAAATAGAGTGCTATTTTCGGCATGTATCATGACAATTACTCTTCGTCTCTCTCCCTCTAATATATATATATATATATATATATATATATATATATATATATATATATATATATATATATATATATATTTACTGCTTTGGCCCTTAACGTTGCTTTTACTGGAGTCCTCAAACCGAACTGATATTCAGAAGTTAATTGAATGTTGCTCATATTTAGTAGCTTGAAATCTAACATGCACGCGTTGTCCTATTTGGACTTCTTCACTGGATGTACTGGCATCCTCAGTGAGTGGTGTCCTCATGAAATCTTGGACAGAGAATCCAATTTCCCGAGCTCGTTATTCATTGAGCTATCGAGTCATAAGAGATATTCCTTGTGTATTGCGTTTGTGTATGTCAACTGTTATGTATTGAGGATTTCGAATTTATTGTTTTTTACTGAGCCTAAGTGATCAGTCCCTGGCTCCTAGCACGAATACTTTGATGATACCTTTAATTTTTGTTTCTCATTTTGGTACATATTTCTGCACATAATCTTTAGAATAACGTTTTCCAATTTCCAACTGCAATGCAGGACATCATCAGTACAGGTACACTCAATGAAACCCCACTCGCTAATTAACTGATTTTACGAAGCTGGTTCGAACTGCGATATTTACCATGGATGTTATGATACCGTTTGTCTTGTTCACACTTGCCACCCATAATGTTCACACATTGATGCGAATCTGAGAAAAGTCACTCAGGCTTATCCAAAAACCTTGGAAAGCTTCTCTGTTCATGGCTGTTGCTTCTGAGTGACCGATAAAGTACTTTCGGAATATTAGTAACCTGTTGTCAAATTGGTTGCAGCTGCTACTGCAACTGTAATGTATCATATTTAAGGCTCTTTTGTATGAAATAAAACGGTGCTCGCGTAAGGACCAATAAATCAGGTGATCAGGACTTAAGTATGGACAGTAGTAGCATCCGGGGGTAATCAGTTGTTCCAGCTCATTCGAACCAAGGGCAGGAAGAAGTGTAGTGTCATTGAGACGGTCTGTAAGATGTATGCTACGCTACAACCTAAAACGGTGCCTGGAAGGCAAGACAAAGCATTGGAAAGACAATTTGGCTGGCCTGTAGGGTAAGTATTGTAGATCACACTACTTCTTGGTCGTCCATCACTGGTCTTAGCAAATGAGAAGTTTGAGAGAAATCCTCAATAGTCATTTGTCATAAGGTATGCAACCTGTTCAAATTACCTCGTTTTCCTTTAAAGTTTACACATCTATGTATGTAAGGGCTGAGGGGTGGTAACGGATGTAATTTGCACTTGTATTTTGAAGACCAAATCAATATACGCCACTCGCCGGCCACATGTGTTGCTGTTGAGACTTTAATCCAGCCAACCAAAGTGAGGTTTACAACACTGATGGGCACGCTTTTGCCTTGTCTTTGCACAGCCATCACTATGTCCGACATTTCAGGCATCCAGTGTGGACAGTTCTGTAGTTGAATGGCTTGTGGTCTGAGTAAGTCTTAGTTTGCCATCTTTGGACACCGTCTCTGGTGCTTTGAATATAAGTGGTAATTCGAATTGCTACACGTTCTTGCAAAGTAGTATTGTAACAACAGAAGACAAGGGCCAGGCAACAGATCGTTTATTAAGGAAATCAACACATATTTATAGATTTTCATGTACATATTATAGATTATTGTTGTTTCCCACAGAAAGTTAATTTTTCATCTCTTTGTGGCTGTTTCGTGAATGTCAGATCATCTATATGTTAACTGTATCCGCCTACGCAAAGCCTTTGTTCTCATTTTTCTCACGACCAATATTGGGGATATAAACATTGACGTAAATTACTGTCCACGAATTTCGGCTAATAGCCAGCTCTCACCACAGTATGTTGAAAATTCAGTTCAGTTCACATGTGCTAGGAATTTCATATCTTCGCTACATCACTTCGCTCGTACATTTTTCGTTTTATGTGGCTTGTTTCTTAGTACTTGAAATTGTACCAAATTTGAGATAAAAATAAGTTACGTCATCTTAGCGTATAACTCACGTTTTTTTTGAATATTTCCGTTTGTTCACTAGAAATTACATGAGTAAGAGTGTCAGAACTCATGTTTTGAAGTTTTTAAAAAGTATTTTCTACTTTGTTTACCGAATTCTTCTATCTCTTTTTAAATATAATTCTAGATCACTAAGTTAATACTTTTCTAGTTTTCCACTATTATCAATTTTGTCTTCCGTAGCCTGTGACATCTAGTGGTGGACCTACACCGACTGCCGGTGCAGGGACTGGGGCATCTGAAGGTGTCCTAGCCAACTTCTTTAACAGTTTACTTAGTAAACGCGGAACTAGTGGAGCTGTTGGTGTCAATCCAACTATCTCTTTAAACTCTTCAGGTCCCTTAGGTAAGTTGTATAGTTTTTCACCAAATTTATTTTCGCTAATGAATTAGACTACTTTTCGACTGCACTGCCTTTCGATATTCATATTTCTGTTTAGTCGCTAGACGGGTAAGTGTCTAAGACGAAGAACTATCGGTCTGTCAGGATGCATCGTTATCTTAACTTTTGCGAAATATGCTGTACATAGTCTTAGTATTTTTATTTTAGGTTAAGTTCGTTTACTTATTCTTCACTGCGTTGCCTTCATATTTGATTTTCATTTGAGATAAAAAAAAAGCTCGTAACAAAAGAAGGCAATTTAAATAATTACTTATTTGTTGAAGAAGAAAACAGTTACTTTGTGTTATAATGTTCTACAATATATATATATATATATATATCATGTACTTGGCAAATGCGAGTTTTTATTAGTCAGACATTACAACTAGATTTTTGTCTTCTACGGAGCACGTGACTCGTCGATTAATGATTCCCATATGAGTATCTATTGGATTGTATTACATGGTCAAACAATTATTTGTATTATTAGATGGTTGGAGGCAATCGGTAGGAAGCCTCGTCGTATTCTCCAGATTAAATTCATAATTATTACATGATATATTATAGTAGCTTGCCTCCAAATTCGAACAGGCCGCCAAGGTCAAGGTCTTATTATCTAAATAAGCTATGACACAAACTGAGTCCTGGGTCACTAACTGGTTGCATTCCTACTTCTCAAATAGAATGCAGTATGCCGTATACAAAGGCAAATCCTCCTCCGCTGTGCTCACTGAAGCGGGTGTCCCCCAAGGTGCTGTACTCTCTCCACTTCTCTTTTCTTTGTTTCTACATGACCTACCATCTTCAAATGACATTAATTTTGTCAAATATGCTGACGACCTGACTGTATCTTTGTCTGTCAAATGTCAAAGTGACTGCTCTGAACTAAATGGCTTTTTGTCAGAAATCAGCCAATGGTCCAAGGAAAACGCTCTTACCTTAAACTCCTCTACATGTCAAATAGTCAGTTTCACATTTAGGCACAAATATGACCTAAACAAACTGGTTAGCACTCACGAGGTATGCAACATAGATGGCACTGAAAAAGAAACCAAGTCGGAAATTAAATATCTGGGCGTCATTCTATCTGCTGATCTTTCCTGGTCGCCTCATATCTTGATGATTTCTATGAAAATATTCCGTTTTACCTTCTATGTCAAGAAGTTAAGGCATTATGGAATAACCTAACCCTTACTCCTACGACTCGTTAACTCTTGCATCCTGCCTATTATTCTCTATTGTTCCCCCTTAGTTTTTCCTGGGCTACTGAAGAAAGACTATACCTTGTTACGCAGGATGTTAAAGGTTTTCAGTAGGATAAGCAACGTGCCACTTAACCAGCTTGTTAATATTCTGATCGACAGGCACTTGGACTCATGTGGAAAATGGGCAAAATCCATTCCATCTAACTCACACCACCTTCTTCATTCACAACTCTACCCTTGTATCTCATCACGCAGGACCAGAAGCCTACATAGAAACCATCTGCTCGCACTAGCAAGTACAAAAGCTCAACCATACCCTATTTGGCTCGTATTCTGTGCGATAAAGAAAGCACTAGGCGTGAAACTTATAACTTATTAAATAGTCAGTAGAACAATTGGATCTCGTCTTTCCAACTCATATCATTTATAGGTACAAAGTTTTCTTTCTTTCTTTTGTTTCCCTCTTCCTTACAAACTCTACTTAAAACATTCTTCTTCGTTCTTTCACATTCTGTATATCTGGTCCTTTTTGTTACCGTTAGCACCAGTAAATATGCTAGTGTCTACTTTTCTAACACCTTCAAACATTCTGTTCACTTTTGGCTTTGCTACCGATATGCTAACATGTTGTCAAAAACTAACTGAGATTTTCCACAATCTATGTAGAATTTCATTTATTGTTAATGTACTAACTGGATGCAATACTGTAGTAAAATGCTGAGAATTCCATTCTGTATCGCAAGTACTGTTTTGGAATAAAGCAAATTATTATTATTATTATTTGAATTATATGCTCTTGAACACATGCAAGCGACTCGTAGATGATGTCCTAATTTATGAGAGTCGTAATTTGCTTTAACCAATATCATAAAAAGCAATTACTACTAATTTTTAAAGTTTTCAAGGAGTCTAGAATCGATTAGACACATTTTATCATTTTTGATTGTTTCCACGGACTCAAGATTTTAAGAATAAAAATGTCCAAGTCTTAATAATAATAACAATAATAATAATAATCCTGTTGACAAATTTTACTTTGCTGGCATATTTTCCTTTTTTAATTTACTAAATAAGTTCTATCTGTATCGATTTATTTCAGACAGATCATCCATTTCTCAGAAAGATATTCAGTCTGAACTGGAAAGACTCTCACGTAATTCTCGTGAAGTTTCAAATACAACAGATTGTGCTATTGAACAACTGGTGAATGAAAGCCAACAAAAATTGCAAGTGTCTAAATCTTCTGAACCACCTAAATTCTCATCAAGAAATAATGCATCAGAAAACGCAAACGAAGCTTAGGTGTTTAATTCAGCTTACCTTACACATATATGAAGTGTAACCCTATAACCTTCATCACAACGAATTTTGTGTTATATTATAAAAGTTTTCTTCATTCATCAAGTTCATCTCGACTTATTTTTTGTATATTCAATCAATTCATCGTTTTTACAAAATGATTCAAATATTTTACAGGTTGATACAAAACTTTCATTGCATTTAATTAAGTGAATCTTGTATCAATTCAAGGTTCATTGAATCAACGGACAATTACTAAGTGGATATTTGCTATTCGATATACTTTTTTATATGTTGTGGCTAGCGATGAGATTCAGTACGTGTGTTTTGGATAATTTGAGTGGATGAATGTCTTTCCAATTGAGAATCGAATCCACCACTCATTGTTTCAAACACTAAAGCGTTATCCACTATACTACTATCGACCTGTCTTTTGAACACCGTGTAACAGTTGCCATTAAATAACGTAAACACAGCCGTTTTGGCTTGGTGGGTCGTATAGCCTGCTCTAACCATTTCACCTTGGAAGATTTGGTAGTACAGTCAGTCGGGTGGTACGCAACATATGTGACGCAGGTTGGTGCATGCAAATTCTATATCGGGTGTCCGATTCTAACTAATTTAAAGCAACAAGAAATTTCCATGTTTCATGAATTATCAACAGATGCTACTATTAAACCGTTAGGGGAGAATAAATTTGCACAGAATTGAATTTTCGATGTAGGACTGTGCGCAAAAATACAATAAGTGTATTAAAAATCAGTTCAATGTTGTCATAATTCTCGTATTTTTCAATGTATGTTGATTTCGTAAATTTACATTACTCTGTAAGAATGTATTATAAGGTGTCAGAATAATATGATACAAACAACTAAGGCTCATTAACATATAATTTTAATTTACTTTCGTATTTGAGAAGTGTTAGTAATAAGTGCATTAAGATGAAGTCAGAATGTTGTACAAAATTAGATCCCTTTTTCTACTCATTTAACTTGGGTTACTGTTTAAGTAAACACACTGAAATGTGCGAACTGTTGCTTACTGAGTTATTTAAATTACTGAAGAAGTCCTAAATCCAAGCTAACGTATTCGTGGAGATCCCTTTGACATTATGACATGTGTCCTGTGAAGTCACTGAGAGTGATGAACACTTCAAGTTGGAGTTTATGTAGGCAATCCAGTCAGGCTCGACTCGGACCTTCTAGATTCACGACTATAAGCTGGAGTGGGATGTGCCTAAAGAGCAGATATAAGTCCACTAATGTCCGTATATTATGACCTCAGCATAGGATGATCAATTGTTTTCGTGATTGATATTTGTGTCATGGTCGTGTCAAAAAGAAAACCGAACAAAAATACTTTGTGCACAGAAAATGTGGAAATTTATCTTAAAGTTTTCAGTAAAAGGATTTTAGATTAACGTTGTTTGTCCTATGTAGGGAAAGTCAGTGGTTTCACCACATAGTTTAGCTGGAGGTTTCGATTTCGTTTGACAGCAAGAATATGATGGAGATTAGCATTGAAAAGATATAGAGTAGCATTTTAAAAACGGTATCTTTATGATTCACCAAACTGAAGCTCCTATCTGTGTGCAAACGATTTTTAGAAAACCTTACAAGAGCACAGTACGTGTCTTAATCAATTTCATTCAAAGTGAGTCAATAAAGGGAAGCTAACCTTCATATATAGTTAAAATTTTATAGTCTGATTCTGCGTTGGGAAAATCGTCGACGTCCGAGTTTGTAGTAGTACATTGATATGTGAAATGTGAAAAAATCAGGTAAACTATAGGCTGCTGAATGAGTGAGCAAATCTTAGTGTCCATAGAAGCTGAATAGTTTGCCCCGTTCCATCTCAAATGCTTCCTTCATACAAGGTGGGTCCCGCGAAAGCGTCCGGTAAGCAAACTTAACACCATTTGCCAAAACGACTAATATGAACTGAGAACTAGTAAAACAAAGCATACAAAACAAACACAACAATCATGTCAGCGACCTCCCAATCCTCAACACAACACATCACTATGAAATCCTCATGAAACCTTCCTAATGAAACAACACCACAAAAGTGAGGCTCCCAGACAATATACGTACACCAAATAAAGAAGAACCACTCCGAAACAAAACATAATTAAGACATAGAGAGTGTTATAACTTCCATGAGCCGAAATCAACTGATTACTGAAGAGATCTCACCACGGATACAAAAGACTCGTGTGGCACTTTTCCAACTCATGTCATCTCTGGTGTAGACGTGATGTCCGGCTATCGACCTAAGGACGTGTGTAGTACTGTGCAGGATTTCCCCCTCTCCTGCTTTGTCGTTCTGATACGTGGCTGTTGAATGTGAAAGACCTGGAAAGGCTAAGCGTCTTTGACCGCGGATGTTCGCCTTCTATCTCCCGTGTTAAGGCGGTATAACATGGTGAGTAATGTCGAGATTGGGCGTGGACTGATAGGTAAGGAGGGGAGGTGAGTCACTGAGATTGTGAAGCTACATCGATTGAGATGGCTAGGACACGTGGTTCTCATGACGAGTTGCCAGCTCCCTCGTCGAGAAATCTTAGTTTACATAGGGTTGGGTTGGAAAGGAGTTAGTGGTAGTCAAACCAAAACCTGTCATCAATCCATGAAGTCTTCGACAGTTGGTTTGAACCGCATAGTCAGGTGTAGACTGCTTGGTTGCGGTCGCCGAGATGCTAAGAAGCATTGACTGGAGACTGTTGGTGATATGGCTCATGCTGCTCCATTCGAACTGATAGACCCAGGAAGACTGATTCCAGTGGGCTTCGAACATGGCGAGGAGCGAGAGCTGATCGAATACAAGCTGACGAGAAGCCTTCTCAACGACTGTGAACAGTGGTGGGTAAATGAAGCCAGGCAGAATGGAAATGCATCGGTGGTAGGTAATATCAGACAAGTATTTAGAGGCATTAGAGAAATGGCCTGTAAAAAACCAGTGGTAAGCGAAGTGATTTCTGAGAACAACAGACCTTCACTTAGGCCTCATGAGAGACGATTGGCCGATTAAAGCAGACACTTTTACGAGCAATTCAATTTGACCAGCATCTAAAACCTACCTGTGTGGGATGAAGACGTCAGTCATCCAACTGTAACTGAGGTTTCAAATACTGTCTCTAATCTGAAATGAGGTCAAGCCGCGACATCTGATGGAATGACTCCAAAGGTGTTTGAGAACGGTGGTCATAAACTATTGCCTGGATTAACTAAGATATTAGGTAGTGTCTGGGAATCAGAGGTAGTCCTATTTGACTGGTGTAAATGATTGATTATCCGAGTTTATAAGAGGGGAGACAAGCCTTCCTGTGATAACCACAGGGAGATTAGCTTGACCAATATGATATCGGGAGTTCTAGGTTGAGTAATCTTGTGTGGACTGAGCGGTGCTCTGGAGAAACAAACGCGTGACAGCCAGACAAGCTTTAGGTGGGAACAGGGTGTATAGATCGTGTCTTCAGCCTTCGACAGATTCTGGAACATGGGCATACTCACCGGAGTCCAACACTTGTGATATTTATTGACAGGGAGGTGGGATTCGACTCCGTTGGCCGACACGTTTTATGGTAATGTCTGACCACGTAGGCAGTGCCGAGAAAACATATAACTCTAATCAAGTCACTCTAGTCAAACTGTCACAGCCGTGTAAGAGCTAATGCAGAGTTTTCGTCTGGAGTTTAATTTCATCATAGATGTATTAATGGATGTGACCCTAATCGACTTTAGTCATTTACAGATTGACTTGTTACCAGGGTAGAGCCTTTTCGATTTAGAATATGCAGGTGATATTGTCCTTCTAGGAGAAAACACTGACAAAACGCAGAGTCTTCTGAACATCTTGAGCAGAAATCTTCGAATGTTTGGCCTGCGATTCGCCCTAGTCGAAAGTAAGACGATGGAGCAGGACTGGTCTGCACCGACTCCTAGTTTAAAGATAGGCAGTGAAGGAAGTTGTAGGGCGTAATGATGACCACTTCGCTTATTTGTCAAGTTGCATCGGCCAAAATCAACTGATTACTGAAGAGATCTCACCACGGATACAAAAGACTCGTGTGGCACTTTTCCAACTCATGTCATCTCTGGTGTAGACGTGATGTCCGGCTATCGACCTAAGGACGTGTGTAGTACTGTGCAGGATTTCCCCCTCTCCTGCTTTGTCGTTCTGATACGTGGCTGTTGAATGTGAAAGACCTGGAAAGGCTAAGCGTCTTTGACCGCGGATGTTCGCCTTCTATCTCCCGTGTTAAGGCGGTATAACATGGTGAGTAATGTCGAGATTGGGCGTGGACTGATAGGTAAGGAGGGGAGGTGAGTCACTGAGATTGTGAAGCTACATCGATTGAGATGGCTAGGACACGTGGTTCTCATGACGAGTTGCCAGCTCCCTCGTCGAGAAATCTTAGTTTACATAGGGTTGGGTTGGAAAGGAGTTAGTGGTAGTCAAACCAAAACCTGTCATCAATCCATGAAGTCTTCGACAGTTGGTTTGAACCGCATAGTCAGGTGTAGACTGCTTGGTTGCGGTCGCCGAGATGCTAAGAAGCATTGACTGGAGACTGTTGGTGATATGGCTCATGCTGCTCCATTCGAACTGATAGACCCAGGAAGACTGATTCCAGTGGGCTTCGAACATGGCGAGGAGCGAGAGCTGATCGAATACAAGCTGACGAGAAGCCTTCTCAACGACTGTGAACAGTGGTGGGTAAATGAAGCCAGGCAGAATGGAAATGCATCGGTGGTAGGTAATATCAGACAAGTATTTAGAGGCATTAGAGAAATGGCCTGTAAAAAACCAGTGGTAAGCGAAGTGATTTCTGAGAACAACAGACCTTCACTTAGGCCTCATGAGAGACGATTGGCCGATTAAAGCAGACACTTTTACGAGCAATTCAATTTGACCAGCATCTAAAACCTACCTGTGTGGGATGAAGACGTCAGTCATCCAACTGTAACTGAGGTTTCAAATACTGTCTCTAATCTGAAATG